GATTCCGAACGTTTCTTCCAAATATTTTCAGTCAGTGTCTCAGCCCTTCATGGGCAAGACATTTTGTTGTACTGCATTAACCGTTCCACTATAACGCGCTTAAAGGGAACACATTTACCCTTACCCCCTAGGAAGGCCAAAGGGTACAATTGTGAAAATAAACACCTGTTCTTGAACCCGTGCTCCCCCCCCCCAAAAAAATTTGGTTCTGGATTTATCTTTGATCCCGTCGATAAATTTAGAGTTACACGTCTAGTAGCTGGATAGGCTAGGAGCGACACTGGCTTTCTTGAAGAAAGAAATGATACATTTAATTGGGCCTAATGGCTTATATCGGTTAGAAATGGTTCACTGAAGGCGTGTACTCGGAGTTCGAATATGGATTTGCAGCATTCACGGTAGCTGTGGTCAACTGGATTAAAGTCGCTTAGCACATATGCAGTAAAGAAAAAATCAAATTTACAAAAAAAAATGTGATTACGGTTTCACTTTTCTTCGGTCACAACTAATGAGAAAATGATTTCATTGCGTGTTGGAGCGAAAGGAAATAGCGCTGACTCTATGATAGATGTCCTAAGTCAATCTGATTGATTATTCTACCGACGTTAGTCTTGCTGTGTAGCTTACCTCACAAAGCTGGTAAGGTGCCAAATGCCACGCGCCTTCTTTTGGCCCAGTTGGAGGTTACCCTGTCGTCTCCTCTTCGTGATCTTGAGCCACATCCCTTGGCCCACGTGGAAACAGTTCCATCTGCTTCTGCGATGGTTGTAACTCATTGTGTGCTTCACTGTTGAAGCAATGAGGACCGTTTGGGAAAGAGAATGAATCAAGAACAGCATCTCGATAGGCAGAGTTGGTGATGTTAATAGACAAGTGGATTGATCGAACTGTTGATCAGATTCACGATTACTTCGGTTGCAGTTATCTTATACGTTTGGGTCAAGACATGGGGAACGTTGTGAACATAAGGAAGAACAATGCATACAGCAGCCCTGGCAAGGGCAAACGAATTGAAAAGGAAAAAAAACACAGCAGGATTAATAAACAGCATAAAGCACCTCAACCAAGTGGCTTGGGCCTTTCTTCCGGAGCAGATGTTCCAGGGCGAAAGTTTATCAAAATGTAGATGTACATAGATACAGTCACTGTAAAGGTTGATATATAAAACACCATAATGATATTTTGTAAGATGTTACAAATAAGGTAGGCTGATGTTCCGGAGGAATGACGTCTGAAATGGTCCGTGATCTGAAAAAGGTTTGTTACAGCTCCCAAAATAGCTGACAAAACCCGAAGTCCTGCAGATATCTTGGCAACTCTTGTTTTGCTGCATGATGCTTTGAATGTTATTGGATAATGCACGGCTGAAAATCTAGCTATTCCTTTGGCCGTCACAAAGCTGAAGGAAGCATAACGCCCAGTGTCGTGCAACAATTCTACAGGTATGGTAATATTTAAGCCATCCAGGGGTGTGCAAATGATGAAATCAGAACTGTAAGAACGTAGATGGAGTCAGCCACTGCCAGGTTGGTTAGCTAGACACTGACGATCGTACGCATTGACTTCAGTCGAACGACGAAAAAGAGGAAGACAAAGTTTAAGATAAGATCAGTGGGTCCAATGATTTTTAGCAGTCAGAAAAGTTTTTCATCTAGTGCTTGAACTTCATCGCGAAACTCTCCTCGTAGAACCTGGTTCCTCTGAACTTTAATCATAGTGTTGTTCACGGCTTGAGCACTTCGTCACAACCTACAGAGTTCCGATATCAACCTCAAATTCAAACGATTTAATAGATCCCTTTAAACATGATACTGAGGAAAAAGATAAGCAAAGGAGTTCGCATTGCGTGGCGTTGATTAATCTTGTTTCATTCTACAGAGGTGTTTGTACACCAGACACTTTCAGTCTTGATATTGTCCTGTTTTCTTTTGTCCGTTCTGAGTTCATTTTGTTCATTTGCGCAAGGAATCTAAGAAAGGTAATATTACAAGATGTGGGTGACTTCGAGATTTGAACTTGAGTTTACAGGAAGTAGGGTTATGGAGCAGACTTTGATGTAATTAGGTCTGTACGCGTACTGAAGACTCATTTTTTTAACGGAATGTAACGGAAAAAAGAACGCGTCGGTTCATGTACGTGACATCGCTACATACTTTGTATTATGAAAGAGCTTAGACTGCGTGCGAATATGTTGTCTATAGGGCTATAGGCTAGTCTTGGCCTATTGAAAACACACAGGACACGCTGGCCATTGAGCTAGCCTTAGCTCTTGAAGCCCCTTTTATTTGTGTCAAGTGAAGTTGCAATTTCGATAGAATCTTCCAGTAGGCCTATAATATCTCCGATCCACCATTGTACAGCGAAAAAGTGAAACATTTTGGACACAAAGAGACAAAGATAAGCTCCTTTCACACGGCAGATTTACTCCACTGACAAGGCACTCAAAGGTATTTCACATTCTCTTAATCAAGAGATCAGAGTGAATTTTAGTGACCACACCCTTTGCCAAAGAAGAAATTAACGTGCCTGTGTGGCTATATGCACCCTGAATAGCATAACGATGGCTTCCGACACTAATACCAGACTGGACAAATTCTAGAACATGATCAGATACAACTAAAAGTTTACATTCACTTGGACTGAAAGTGTTTAATTCAATTTTACAGACTGTGGCCATTCTAAGCCCCCTACATCTTTTCTGTAGCTGATCAGCTCGCACATCATGAAACTAAAAATACATCAGCTGTAGACGATGAATAACCGACCATATTTGCGGCGACGTCACTTTTATCTCAGGAAGGTTGGTGGTAATTATCATATATAGCAGAACTTTAGTGCTGAGGTAAATGTCGGGTTTTACTTTCCTATAATAAAACATCCTCCACCAATTCCCAACTAAGAAAAGAAATACTACGTAGAGACTTGTCGGTTCTAGGTATAACGCTCTTGTGACAGCGCTACCATGCAAGTCGGCCAGTACAGTTTTATTGTTTCTTGTACTTCAAGAGCACCTCTAAGGAAAACACGTTTTCTCTTATTTTTATCTGTTAAAATAAATATGGAAGCATCCTAATCGAATGCAGAGTCATTCGCCTTCAGAGCTCAACCGTTAACAAGCTTAAAAGGTTTTTTCTGTTCATGTCAAGATGCCAATTCTGAATGTAGATTGCATCATTCGGAGAAAACGAGGGAAACCTTCGCCCTGTGTTCGTTAGGGATAAACCTGTGTATGCCAACAATGCATGTAGCCATTTGTGTACCCCATGTATAATAATTGCCCCCAACCTTCCTAGATGAAAAACGCATGCGTAACCGTTATGGTACGCCAATTTTATCATAATTGCCCCCAACCTTCCTAGACGAAAAACGCATGCGTAACGGTTATGGTACGCCAATTTTATCATAATTGCCCCCAACCTTAAAAACGCATGCGTAATGGTTATGGTACGCCCATTTTATCATAATTGCCCCCGACCTTCCTAGACGAAAAACGCATGCGTAAAGGTTATGGTACGCCCATTTTATTATAATTACTCCTACCCTTCCTGGCCTAGGGAAAAAACAGCGCTTCCTGGCGTCCCCGATTTCAGTCGTATTCTTGAAGGTACAGTATAAATTTGAAACCCTCAATGGGATGGTACCAGATGATTGGGGGGTCGAAATGCAATTGCAGAATTAAAGTCGGAATGCAATTGTAGAAGTTGGGCTCTTTGAATTTAACGTTTTCAAATACATCGTAAATACACTTAGTTGGGGAATACAAGGTCTATAGCCAGGAGTCGTCGTAAACCTTATAATGAAACATAGTACGGTCACATAGTTTCGGTCACAACTGTACACTTGCAATACTTGCAATATTAATTGCATTTTCTAAACTGGTGCACTTCTTACCTTTTACGCTTTGACCCTATTCGCACAGAGCACAAATACTCCCTCATCGGTTGAAAAGAGCCATGTTGGTGGGAGGTTCTCATTCTGTAGGTGGAGATGCGACCGCAACACGTGCATTTCATAGTCGTTGGTGAACCAGCAAAGTGCAGTTCCTACTAAAGGAGCCTGCATTGCTGGGAAAATTGCGGATCTGCTTGAGGCTTATATAAAACACCGTGAAGTTATTAGGAAATTTCTGAAGTGTAAATCCCTCAATACAGAAAAATTGTGTGTAATATCAACTATGTGTATACATTTTCCACAGTATTAAGTGGAGATATCTTCAAGCTGTACACTAATAAATACATTCTTGCAAAACCTTGCCCATTTTATCATACAGACAACAAACTAATTCTACAGATCATTTAAAGAATCAGAACTTAAGCTGTAATTTTCTTACGGGCCCTAGCCTGGACTGAGGTCATGGTATCAGAATTGCTTTGTCCGAAACCGGTCAGTTACTGTCTGCAGAAAATTCTATCTGCTGACTAGAAACTGCTTTTAGGGCAACAGATGAGACATTTCATGAGTATTGTTCATCCGAGAATCTGGATGACACATCATACCAAAAAGTGTGTAGTGTCTTACCAAGAAATCTGCAGATCTGTATTTATTTAGGCATATTGCACAAAGTTACTTCAGCAACTGCTGCTTATTTGAAAGAGGCAGGAACCAGGCTAAAAGGTGACAGCTCTTCTAGTAACTGTTAGCATGCTTACAGCATTGGTATATTTAACCAGTCACTTGGGTAAATTCCCTGCATGCATAATGAATGCCTATAATGAGTACCCACAATGCTTTGGGCCTACTCCATTATATTTTATGATTTTAATGAAATTTTAGTGAAGTCACTCTAGGGACCCAGACACCCTGGGTATATAGAATGCACAGTCTATCATATATATATCTGACATTCCAATTCGGATCTTGGGTGTTTTCTGTCCGCCATTACGCTGGCGTGAGTGGTATCTTGAGGGGTCGGGAATACACGAGAACATATTTGCCGATACGACTGTCCAAGGGCACATGTGTGTGGAAGAATGACGCAGTCTGTAATGTGACAAAGAAAAAAAGTAACACAAAGAAATTAAAGATATCGCAACTGGTTGCAAAATGGAAGTGATCTCAACACTGTTTCTGAGCATGGTTACCTAAACATCATTTACAATTTATACATTCCAAATATCAGGTTGAAATTTCACATCATTTATAACTTATGTAAACAGGAAAATGGCTAAATAAAAGCTTACTAGTGAGTACCGTCTGCTTGATAAGAATCTCTTGATTTTCTGCAAACAAGAAAAACAAAAGGGTTGGTAAACTTTAAAAAAGGGAATGTTTACTGTTCACTAACCTATCTTGAGTTAAAACAAACTGTTAAATTGTGTGCATCTTCAAGAGATCAGACAACACTCAATTGTTACAGATAGGATAAATCAATAAATGTGAAGTAAACAGTGCTTTCTACATTTCTACCAGGGTATCAAGTCAATATGACATATACCAAAGCTCTTCAGCCTCAATTCAATTAATTTGTTGAACAATCGGTCTCCGGCCTGTGAGTAGTTAATTTGAATAATTCCTCCCAAACATTTCAAATTTCAAAGACTGACTATACTTATCAGCACATTTAAACACAGCTTAACTTCCTTCCTGGAATGTTTTACACAAATGTCACATTCACGAGAAATTTGGCAGGATTCAAAATGGTTCCTATAAACCAAAAATATAACGCCATCAAGCTTTGTTTAGGCCTACATGAGTGCATTCCAATGGCAGTGAGATGAGATATGATTGAGTCCCCTAAGAAAAGCGCACATGTAGACAAAATGTGACATCAATGTGTTGTGCATACCGAGGGAGACAGATTGAAACTACCTTAACTTACTGTAACTAATGTAACAAAGAGAAAATTTTATCTAGAAAGAGGCAGTGAACATACAGGCAAGAGAACGTCATAAAACACCAAATATCTTGGCAAGTTACTGCCCGGTCTGAACTCGGCTTTCAGCCAATCGCTAGGGTTGTCAAAGAAGACATCTGCTTCATCCTGATATGAACTTTCCGCATTGCGGTATCGGCTGAGGTTGGGTGGGCATTCCAAGAATCGCATGGAGATGTTGGCATGTATATGACTGAAAGTAATCAAAATCAAATTAAAGTGAATCAAATCTCGTTGGCAATAAAAAAGAGAACTGCTTGAACAATAGAGGAAGAAAAAAGACAAAAAGTTATGACCCACACCAACACTTTGACACTGATAACCGTTAGTTATTGCAGATGTCACAGAATGATATATTTTGCTATAAAAATCATTTGTACATGTAACAATAATTTTTATTTATATGAAGGTGGTAACCACATAAAACATCATCATTATGGTCACTTCCATCTTGCCTTGGTAGCATGACCATCCATGCAAAGATTCTGACGCTTGTTAACATATTCACTTGATAGATCTGTCACACATTCAAAGTGTTCACTTCTAGTGGTATACCCGGTTCAGCTCTTTGTTGCTGGTTGATATTTACCGGGAAAATTTGGAGTTAATTGATGGGACTTTGGTACAAGCCACAATTTTTAAGTCTCCATATAACGACTATCATATTAACCCTAACAGTCCCGAATGCTATAAAGTACTACTCAGTACTTGAGTGGTCTGTCACCTTATGTCATCATACGATCGCTGTGTTTGTCTCTTGACTTGAGTGGTCTGTCACCTTATGTCATCATACAATCGCTGTGTTTGTCTCTTGACTTGAGTGGTCTGTCACCTTATGTCATTATATGATCGCTGTGTTTATCTCTTGACTTGGGTGGTCTGTCACCTTATGTCATTATATGATCGCTGTATTTGTCTCTTGACTTGAGTGGTCTGTCGCCTTATGTCATCATATGATCGCTGTGTTTGTCTCTAGTAAGCAGATAAAAGTACTTATGCAGAGATTTAAAAGTCAAAGACTTCACTAGCAAGGAGAAATCTAACTATCTGAAAAATGAATACACAGGCGTTTCACATCACAGGTTACCAGTGACCAGTCTATGGTACGCCTCACCTGAATAAAGGTGTGGAGTGGCAGGGCATAAGGAACAAGACAGAGGGTGTTCTGATGTGAGCGTTGGGTGCATGGGCTACTGTCTGTAGGTAATTCATCACGTCAAGTGTTCCTCGCTGATGTACAAGGCCTGTGTACAGACACACTGGCAGATTGCTGACTAGGATAAATATCGCTAAGCTACTGGCTCGACCGGCCTTGGATAACTTACTAAAACATACACCTGTCACACAAACACAAAATGGATCAGGTTAGAAAACTACCATATCAATAACAATTGGAATAATGTTCACATAATGTTGCAACTCTGATGTTCCAAAAATAACTCGCTAAAAAGTTGAACTCTACCCAACTCTAAGTTGAGAAATTGAAACTGCCAGCAAGAACGAAAATTATTTCCTCTTATCATGTAAGCTTAAAATTGTGTGATTTCAGAGGGATTTTATCCCTGTTTTCTCTGCATTATGTAAGTTAAAAACACATTCCGTAAGTTCATATTTTGTAAGTTCAAAACATATTCTGTAATTTCCAAGAGTATTTACATCATGAAAACTGCGTGTCCCCTGCAAAAAAGGCAATAGTTTGAAGTTCATTTCAATGATATTTTCATGTCAGATTATACATGTCTGGTTTAACAGAGATATAGCAATTTCATACTTCTGGATCCCAAATTTATAGAGTGACACGTGAAAGGTAATCCATACATAACAGGGGTATACAACTTGTTTCTTTGAAATCAAAGTAGAAGATTACGAGAAACCTTCTGGTGGTTCAACTTACCACAAAAAGACATAGCAATTGGCAGAAGTGGTAGCAAGAATCTGTATTCCTTGTGTTCTAAGAGGCTGTAAAACAGGCACAAGTGAACAATCCCAAATAAAATGTTAACAACTTGGTTAATAGTTTCACAACCATGCTTCATTCATACATTCAGGTTATTTCAATTTTCTGAATTTTTTCAACTGTTGAACTAACTAGTCACACAAACCACCTCTGTCCAAACAGGTACCCAATATCTCGGGGGTTGAGGGGGCAATTGTGACAAAATATCTTGCCCAAGGACAAAGATGTTGCTATCACACAGGCTTGATCAACCCCATCTACTCAGATCTTCAACTTCACTTTTCCGAAAGAGACTTAAAAACTCCGTGCCTGATAAGTATATGTCACTTGGTACATCGTAATCAGGAATAAGTCACTGAGGCTGTTTTACATAATGGCCGAGTAAAGTCAGGATGTGGGTAAATGCTGAAAAAAACAAGTTTCTGTATATGTTGGAAGTGTATGTATGACACGTTACCATCAACACACTTGTAATGTTTGCCATTTGAAAGTTTATAGAAGTCTCTTTCAGACCATGTACATATCTTAAAAGTCAACTGGAGACTTATTCCTGATTTCGATCAGCTGGGTCACATACAGAACACACAGAATGGTTTATTCAAGATTTGGAAATTGAACAAGTCTGGCGTTCCAGGTTTTGAAACCCTTGGTAGAGATTCCTCTTCACCCAGAAACTTGGCATAAAAATAAACCTAGATTCTCCTTACCTATAAACAAATTGTGTCCAGATCATTAGCAGCACCAATGGGCGATAGACACGACCAGCTAACCTTATTCCTAAAATGAATGGGAACACATGGGTACCAATCATCACTGGTAACCCTTGTGTCAAGTACCAGTGCCATGGCTGAGTTCCATAAAATGAGCTGACGTTGTATAAGGCATTGAAGCGAAGAAAGTTGAAGTGGACAAAAATCCACTGAAAGAGAAAATGAAAGCAACACTAGTGAAACCTTGTGTGATTTCCAAGCTGCTTTGTCAGTTGAAATAGTGTCTTATTTACACTTTAAACTGATTAACCTTTGCAATGCCCAATCAGACAAGGATGCAAGAATTTACATTTCACCTTGGTGCTTGCCAGAAATCTCAACCTTATGTACAATTCCAACAATGCAGTACATTTTTGTACAGTTTTTTGTAAGATGGCCACAAAACTGTGGTTAGTTAGTTTGATGATGTAGGTCGAGACTTGGAAAACCATTGTCAACAATGAGCATTACAAGGAGGGAAGGAGGCAACCCTCTCTTCCCATCAACACCACCCCCCCAAAAAAAGTAAGCCTGGGGCTTAAGGGAAAGAAAAAGTGAAAGAAAATATCAAATTTATTCGAAAAATACATGGGAATTTTCCCCCCTTTCACCATTAATAGTTTGCCAGTTTGCTGCTGAGGGCTTGGTCTACCCCTCCCCCTGGCAATATTCATACTAGCATCCACAAAATGTATAATTGCAGATGAATGTTCAGATGAAACAATTCTGAAAAGTTCAAAC